AACGAACTAAAGAGAAAAACGGAAAAATCACAGAATTGGACCAAATAACCTATAAAAATCCTATAAGTGGGGAAAAATAAAGAGAAAATAAACCCAAAATAAAGACACAACAATGGGACAAACACTTTCGATATCCCATGTGCCTGTCTTTGCTTTATGTGATACCGGTGCTACCCATTCTTTTATTTCTTCTCGTTGCTTGGAGGCTTTATCTATTGGCACCGTGCATGCTTGTGATCCTCTCGAGGTTAGTTTAGCCTCGGGAAAAATTATTATCTCTGATTCAGTGGTTCGCAATCTTCTTATATGTATTGGTGGTCGAGTTCTAGAGGCCGACGTCTATGTAATTGATATGCGAGACTTTGACGTGATCTTGGGCATGGACTGGCTCACCCGTTACCGAGCCGATATCCGGTGCCAAGAGCGCGAAGTCACCCTCTATCCTGTTTCCGATCAGCCTGTTGTGTTCTTTGGGGTGAGTTCGAGGACTGTGCCTCGGGTCATCTCTTCTATGCAAGCTAGGAAGAGCCTTTTCAAGGGTAGCTGTCAAGGCTATCTTGTTTCCTTGGTATCCGATGTTGTTGATGAGCTAGTACCTGAGAGAGTATCCATCGTTTGCGAATACCTCGACGTTTTTCCGGATGATTTGTCTGGAGGACCGCCCGACCGCCAGGTGGAGTTCACCATTGACCTAGTTCCAGGAGCCGGCCCCGTTTCTAAGGCCCCTTACCGTATGGCGCCGAAGGAGCTTCAAGAGCTCAATGCCTAGATCCAGGAGTTGCTTAAGCTCGGTTTTATTCGTCCGAGTGTCTCGACGTGGGGTGCGCCCGTCCTATTAGTGAAGAAGAAAGACGGATCTATGCGCATGTGCATTGACTATCGGGAGTTGAATGCCCTTACAGTCAAGAACAAGTACCCCCTTCCCCGTATTGAGGACCTTTTCGACCAGCTGAGAGGAGTCAACGTCTTCTCAAAGATTGACTTGCGTTCTGGCTATCATCAGCTGAAGATCCGGGAGTCGGATATTTCCAAGACTGCTTTCCGTACCCGCTATGGCCACTATGAGTTCGTAGTCATGCCGTTCGGACTCAGCAATGCCCCAGCCATTTTCATGGACCTTATGAATAGGGTCTTTCATCCCTTCCTGGACCAGTTTG